GGTCAAAGGCTTTACCCACACACTTTTCCAAAGATAGTGGGACCCACCTCCCCAATGAACGACCTGCCGTGACAGCTACAACTACAGCCTTCCAATTTTTCAACGCATCTTCCGCTCTCCCCTCCACAATACGACACGGACTCAAATTTCTCCCCTTCTCCGGCTCTCCCCAAATCCTATATATGTACACGCAAACACCTCCTCCCTCTTCGTTCTCCCATCTCCCCCTCAAACCCCAACAATGGCTTCTCCCTCCAAACCTTTCCTTTTCTTCTCCTGCCTCTTCTTCTTCTTCCTCGCCGTCTCATTGGCCCTGGACATGTCCATCATCGACTACAACCTCAAGCATGACCTGCGGAGTGAGACCCATGTGCGGATGATGTTCGAGGCGTGGTTGGTTAAGCACCGCAAGAACTACAATGCCCTGGGAGAGAAGGAACTGCGGTTCCAGATCTTTAAGGATAACTTGAAGTTCATTGACGAGCATAACGCGGTGGAGCGTCCCTACAAATTGGGACTCAATCAGTTTGCCGATTTGACCAATGAGGAGTACAAGGCTATGTATTTGGGTGCGAGGATGGAGAGGAAGAATGGGGCTGCGAAGAATGTAAGCAGCGATAGGTATGCGGCTAAGGATGGTGACAAATTGCCGGAGTCTGTTGACTGGAGGGAGAAGGGTGCCGTTGCCGCTGTTAAGGATCAAGGACAATGCGGTATGTTTCTTCTTTTCCCTTAATTTTTGTTATGTTATTTTAACATTATCTCATGCGTCCATTAATGACTTAATGGGTTTGGGATTTATATTATTAGGGGGATAGAATTTGAGAAAATTTCTGTTTGTTTTTGGGTATGATGCAAATTCTAAATCATTATTTTTTTTAGCATCCTTGATTATGAATTATATAATAAATCATTTGAATGTTGTATATCCATTTTTAAAACACCTTAACGTGAAGTTAAGGTAACGTGACAAAAGAAACCTCTGATGTGTCAGTTTTTTTTAGTAATTATGATGCGTTAGGCTTTTATTGATTTTAGATGTTGTTGACGTGGTATCTCATATTCTCGTTTATATCATATATTGTGGTGTTTGTTATTCATTGTTAACTTATTAAATTGGTTGATTTTGAATGAAGGGAGTTGCTGGGCATTCTCAACCATTGCTGCTGTGGAAGGGATAAACCAGATTGTTACAGGTGAATTAATCACTCTGTCAGAGCAGGAATTGGTGGACTGTGATAAATTATATAATCAAGGATGCAATGGAGGCCTCATGGATTATGCTTTTGATTTTATCACTAAAAATGGTGGCATTGATACTGAAGAGGATTACCCATACCGTGCTACCGATAATGCTTGTGATCCATCTAAGGTTAATGCGACTCAAATCTATTGTCCTCAGTTTTAATGAGGAAATATGCACGTTTTCGTTTCTTATAATTTTCTTCATCTCGCAGAAAAATGCCCGGGTGGTTAGCATTGATGGATATGAAGATGTTCCAAAGAATGACGAGTCTTCCTTGAGGAAGGCTGTGGCACATCAACCAGTTAGTGTTGCCATTGAAGCTGGTGGCAGGGCCTTCCAGCTCTACCAATTGGTAAATATATCGATCTTATAGCATTTTTTTTCTGGCTTTTCTGCGTCTCCAATTTTTGTTAAATTATTGAATGAGACGTAGTTAATACTTCTTTTATGGTTATGCATCTTGAGAGGTAGAAGATCTTCAAGCTCACAAGATTTTAATGTTGTTTCTCAGGGAGTATTTACAGGTATTTGTGGAACAGATTTGGATCATGGCGTTGTTGCTGTTGGTTATGGTAGAGAAAATGGTAAAGATTACTGGATTGTGAGGAACTCCTGGGGTCCTAACTGGGGAGAGAATGGTTATATCAAGCTGGAGCGTAATATTGCTGATGGTTATGGCAAGTGTGGAATTGCAATGGAGCCTTCATACCCCACCAAGACTGGAGTGAACCCCCCCAAACCTTCTCCCTCCCCGCCTTCTCCAGTGAAGCCCCCCACTGTATGTGATGATTTCTTCTCATGCCCTGAGGGAAACACTTGCTGCTGCATATACGAGTATGGTAAATACTGCTTTGCATGGGGATGCTGCCCTCTCGAGTCTGCAACCTGCTGCAATGATCACTTCAGCTGCTGCCCTCAGGAGTATCCCGTCTGTGACCTTGAAGCTGGAACTTGCCGAATGGTAATAACTTTCTTTTAAAGCCTATGTTACATTGTGTTATTCCCTATGATTACTTACTAACGCAATCAATGAAACAGAGCAAGGACAATCCATTTGGAGTAAAACCATTCCACCGAATCCCAGCAAGAAGCACCAGGCCAGTAGATCAAACCAACAGGGCGAGCATTGTTGCTTAAGAGTCCAGAGTCATTTTGGGTATTTTGGGTACAAACTATACGTGACAGAATGGTGCAAGGCAAAGAATATTCAACTCTCACAAAGCTTTTAATTTAAGGTCTTCATTGTAAATAACAATTGATCTGCTGTTGACAAAGCATATAGAAGACTTTCCCTGATTTCATTTCATTAATTCAGTTCCAGCTATTCTCTCATCAAATTGCATTTAATTCTTAGAAGACTTCTCATATTACTTTGGAAAAATGAGTTTCAAAGAATCCAACACAAAAATAAGGATTTCAAGTTTTCGTTTTTTAGATTACACTTGGAGAGCTAATCCTCTCGTAGTCTCGTATCTATTTAATACATATGTTATGAGGGGTGAAGGAGAAAGATGATATTTTCGCACGTTCAAACTTTCTCCGTGGTTTTACGTCCCTGAGCTTGTGAGGGGAATGAGGAAGGAGATATTTTGAGGTTGTGATGGAGCTTTGTTAACCGTGAGTAAGGCGATGAATTTAAGGATGTGATAGAACTCTGTTAACAGTTATCATTTTGAGGCCAGTGAGTTTTCATACTCAAATTTAGAGATTTTTGTTTTAATCGCTCTCATTATCACTATAATCTTTTTAAGAGGAAAGAACTCTCTCATATAATTTAATGGATGAATTACACTATTCCACGAGTAGTATATGAAATTTGTTTAATCTTTTATTCGATTTCGATTTTAAATAGATACTAATTTATTAATTTAGTATTTCTCTTGTAAAAAGAAAAAAAATCTCTCTAAGAGAAGGATACGAGGGAAAAAGTGGCAATTAGTGTGATTGGTGTTGACAACGATGGTGGCGGTCCAAGTAGAGGGAGGAAGAGGAGAAAAGCCGCACTGATTTTTTTTTTAACATGGGTGATTATGAAGATAGGAGAAAATTTTAAATTGTTGGTCAAAATTAAATTTTTAATTAATTGAATTTAAGTATTAAAGTTCAAAAATAAATCATTATGCTAAAAAAGGCTGGTTCAAAAAGCGACACTAATTTGAACCGAGCGTTTAATTTCAATTATTCGACCTCAAATCTTAAAGCATTTAGGTGAGGTGGTCGGAGTTTTAAGTTCCACTACCACCTTAAAAACTCTCTTTCCCCATTTCCCAAATTGTATACTATTTAAAAAAAAAAAAAAAAGCGACACTGATTTGATGACTCCGGATCATTTTATTTGCATATTTAGTATTCTTTGAAACTGTTTTTTTTTTTTTTTAAAAACAATATTTATGGATCACATTGAACTGTTATCTGAAGGGAGGGAGTTAACCTTTAGAAAGACGGAGACCACTTGCCCTATGACGCAGGTTCAAAGGTTTTATTTATGCCAAGAAAGAGAAAAAAAAATTGTTTTTCTCTATAAAATGAAAAGGCCGAGAGGAATTTGTTTCTCTGTTAAGGGCTTGGTGTGGGTTCGTTAAAATGCTTTACGCTTGTGGCTTTAGTTTTGACGGGACTATTTTTTTTTTAGAATGTTTATAAGACTATTTTAGAACGGGAACAGTTTTGGTAAAATTACAACTTGCGTACTGGGAAGCCCTTTAACTTTAGTTTTGAGGGTTTTCCCCCACATTACAATTCTGATATTTACCCCCTCATATTCTCAACTTTATGGTATGGCAACAAGAAAAGAGGGGAGAAACTAGTGGTGTAGAACAAACTAGAGAGAAGAAAGAAGAAAGAAACTCAATGAATTGAGGAGGAAGAAAGCTTTCAACCTCCCCCTATCTTTAGATTTTGGCATATGGAATGTTGGCTACTAGTCTTGTGGAAACATTGATAGCTTAGGGATTTCATCCCCTTACTCTCAATGGCTTAAGAACCTTGTCCCTTTGATTTGGATGGCTTAGAGACATCAAACCTTTAGATTCGGTTTACACCACTGCTTAGATTTGTGTTATAATTCATCATGGTTATGGAGTCTTAGAAAGAAAGTGCAAGACCCTTAAGAAAGATTTCAATTGATTAAAAACTTGAAATTTTAAATGGGAGATCTCAAGTTCAAAACTTGAGACAAGTGGGGAGGGATTAAAGGAAAAGGGAGAACTATTTTTTTTATTGTATAACCCATTATTTGATATACCAAAAAAAAGAAAGTGCAAATCCAACATACTATGTTATTAGAGAGAAGGAAAGTAGGGAGGGAATGGAAAGCAAAGAGTGAAGGAAAGAAGAGCGAAGAAGGAGAGGAAGAGAGAGAAGAAAGGGTGAAACATAAGAATGGAAAATCGTAATTACATCATTCGGTAAATCCATTTTTTGTTTTAATCACAAAATTATAACTCTAAACATGCATTTTTATTAATTAATTAATTTGTTTATTTTAAATGTTTTGAAATTTTATGTAGAACTCACCTACCAATTTGCAATTTAATGTTGCATAAGAATTTTAGCTATAAACCTACATGACGCTTAGAAGTACAATGTAATGAGGGGGAAGAAGGTAATGAGTCACGTTTTTTTCTTTCTTTCTTTTTTTATTTTTTTGTGTGTGATCTTCAGTTACACAATAAGATACAATTTTTTTTTATCTTTTAACTTATCCCATCACATGTTACACAACTTAAACTCTTAAAGTCATGACTTTTTATTTGTAATGAAAAGAGATTATCACTAAATTTTTAAATCATTGATAAATTATGTGACTTTCAAATCATTGTTAAGTTAAGCACTTAAAAGGCTTAAAATCCCACATTATATAGATGGGGCATAAGAACCTTTGAAACTTATAAGTTGGAGGGCTTCCGAAGGTGTTTAGCCCAGAATCTAATCCGCCCTGACGAGGGGAAAAACCCCCGCTAGATCTAAACTCAAGAAACGTATCTGCACCGTCCAATTAGAATTCCCGGCGCACAGTTTCTGCTAGATCAGCGCCTTCTACGCAACGCTTTGACTCCCAACGCTAAAACCTCCCAATTACGGAACTCTAATTTCGTTTTCAGAAACCCTAATATTTCTATATTCCTCTTTGCATCATCTTCTTCGCAATCTCGATTCGAGGTAAGACCCTGTCTTTAGATCTGATTCCTTCTCAGTTTCCATTTTCTGCCATGTGATTCGTTCATCTTCGCGGTCTAGGATTTTGGGAGCAACAAAAATGGATAATGGAATTGCTGATTCATCGGCTTCGCCTCCAGTCAAAGCCCCTGAAGTACACACCGCCGCTGCTGCAGTGTCTGGGCAAGACAATTCGGCACCTGATTCTGCGCAATCGAAGCTTTCTACTTCATCATTATCATCATGGGCCAAGAATTTGAAAATTCCGCAGTCATTGTCTGTGGCTCAGGATGATTCGAATTCAGGAAATGCTGGGAAATCAACTTTTGCGCGATTTACTAGTGGGTTTGGACTGCGCTTGTCGCCGAAATCTCCTGCAGCTAATGATGGTTCATCTGAGGGAGGATCACCAACAGCACAACCTGGTTTTATTGGAACAATTACAAAAGGTATAGTTGACTCTTCGAAAAATGCAGTGAAGGCTGTGCAGGTCAAGGCTCGACATGTTGTCTCCCAGAATAAACGGAGATATCAGGTGAGAGTTATTTCTGCTTTCATTTCATTTATGTTTATTTGTTCTTGAACTTCTTTCTCATATTGCATTTCTAGGTTAATGTTGTATTGGTTGTGGGATTACGATGTTGTTGCTTATGTCTTGTATTGCATTCAGTTATTACCTCATGTAGTGGCTTTTCTTTATATTTGGCAGAAACATACATTATTATTGAAAGATATAAATCATCCGAATCAGACCATAGAGTTTGAAATAATATACATAAACAGGAAAAAGTATGAACTAATACCAAACATAACATAAACTGACCCCAAAAGAACACATAAAGGCAATATCTTGGAAGCTCCTTCTGCAGCATTTTTGGTTGGTTGAGTGAGAGGTAGGGAAGGCTACATCTTGTCCAAAAAGCATTGGTATCGCTTGGTTCCTTAATCACCTGGCACTTGGAAAAGATGATTTCAACGGTTTGCTTTGGAATTTACTGTGGGATTTTTGCTCTACTGTGCTCATCCACGTCAGATGGATGTTTATAACTCCTGCTAGTGAGACAGAAAATAAAGATAACCTGCTGACCAAGTGAGATTGCATGTAAGAGAGGAAGATCCACAAACGCACCCCATTGCATGGTCGGTACAATCTCTAGAGAATGAAATGGTATAAGAATTTCCCTCCACTTCATTTACCTAAAAATTCCTCAGAGCAGCCTACGTTTTGAACTCCACACATTAGGTTGTATGTCTGTTCATTGGAGCAACTAAAATGATCCTGCCTGCCTGCCTGCTTGTGATGGTCAAAGAGGATTGTTGTCTGAATTGAGCCCAATGACCAGACCCCAGTTTAGCCATCTGCTTTGCTTCTTAAGAGATGGATTGGAATTGGATTATCAAAATAGAGTAGGCTTTGATCTACAGATGCAAAATTGAAAATGTTTTAGGGCTTTTTAGGATTTTGGTTTCTCTAAAACTGATGAAAAAGAGAGTGAATGGGGAAAGAAAGCTTGGACTTAGGATGGAATCAGGGGGAAAGTGTTGAAGGGCGGGCTGAGAAAACTCATCAGAATGGAGGAGAGTGTCATTAGGAGGGCAGAGCTCTAACCCTGTATTGAGACTTTTTTAAAGTAGTATAGTAAAAGCTGTAAAACATTTATCATTAAGAGATATATGAAATTAACCTTGAATAAAATATTCTATATTAAATCCAGAATATTCAAGGCAACATTTGCATTTGGAATTTTGGATTACACATGATAACTTCAGATGAATTAGCTGCTCCTTCGTTCACATGTAGGTTATGTAAATGTATAGATGCTTGTGATCCCATTTGTTATAA